AACGTCAGCCTTCCTACTCCTGTCATGCGGCTTGGCCTGCTGTGTTCATCCAGCTCTACACCTTGTTATCTTTAACTAAAAGTAGGGCCTTGGATGGTGTTGCAGAACAGAGAGATCTAGGGGTTCAGGTACATATATCTTTGAAGTTTGCATCATATATAGATAGGGTGGTTAAGAAGGTATTTAGCATGCTTGCCTTCATTGCTCAGACCTTTGAGGTTTAGGAGTTAGGACATCATTTTGAGGTTGTACAGGATGTTGGTGAGACCACTTCTGGAGTATTGTATCCAGTTCTGGTCAACCTGCTATAGTAAGGACATTACTATTAATTAATATTATTGTTATTATTATTAAACCAAGTGCAGGCAGGTGGGAGTAGGGTAGTTTGGGATTATGGTCAGCATGGATTGGTTGGACTGAAGAGTCTGTTTCCATGCAGTATGACCGTGGGTGTGTGGGTGTGTGGGTCCTACAATTTTACTAATGAAATGCTGAAGAACTCAAAACATTAACTTGGTTTTTCGCTCCATAGATGGTGCCAGACCTCCTGAGTTTCTCCGGCAATTTCTGTTTCTTTGTTACAGAACATCTGGGACAGTTTGACATTGTATTCACGGTACGGACAAAGAAGAGGATCTTGAGAGACTACGATAGGTAAGGCGAAAACCTAAAAATTCCAAAACCCCAGAAGATCCTAAACCCCAAAAATCCTAAAAAGTGCAAAATGCTAAACCATAAAGATCCAAAACTCTGAAAATCCCAAACCCCAAAAAGATCCAAAAAAATCCCTAAGATTCTAAGCCCCACATTAACAAAACCCCAATGATCTCGAAATGCCAAAGATCCAAACCCCCAAAAAATACTTAACCACTAGGACCTTATGTGCCAAAGATCAAAAACTACTACGATCCTTAATCCTTATAGATTGTAAACACATAGATCTCCCTCAAACATTAAAAAACACCAAATATCACAAAATCCCAAAGGTCACAAAGCCCAAAAGATTCTAAACCCCAAATATCTAAATCACAATGACCACAAGTCTCAGATCTCAAAGATCCAAAACCCCATAGATCCAAAAATTCCAATTATTCTAAACCTTACAGATCCCAAACCTGAGAATGCCAAGTCCCCAAATTTTAAACAACTTCTATCACAAAATCACTAAGATCCCAAATGCAACCCAAACCTCCCACATACCAAAGATTTTAAACACCAAAAGACTCAAAGCCACAAAGAACCCAAATCCCAAATGTTCTAAAGCCTAAAGACTTTAAACCACAATTATCCCAAAACATTAGAATCTCTAAACCACCAATAATCCAAAAACCAATAGATCCCAAAGCCCCAAAGATTCTGCAGAATAAAGATCCCACACCATAAGATACCAAAGCCCCAACTGTTCTATAGCCCAAAGATTCTAAACTTCAAAGAGCCAAGAGTCCCAAAGATCCTAATCCCAAAAATTCTAATCCACAAGCATCCATAACCCCAGTGATTCCAACCCATAAATGTCTAAAACCCCAATAACTTTACATCCTAGTGGGCCAAAATACCCAAAAGATGGCCAACTCCAAAGATGAGAAAATCCCATAAATCTCAAAACCTCATATTGTCAAATGACCCATATCCCAAACCCCAAATATTCTCAAGCCCAAAAATCTCAATGCCATAAAGGTCTCGAAACGCTAAGGATTCAAAACCACATCAATTGAAAATCCAAAAGATTCAAACCCCAAAGAGCTCAAACACCAAAGATCCTAAGATCCAAAATCCCGAAGATCCAGATTGACAAAGATCCAAAACACAAAGATTCAAAACCTGAAAAGATTCTACACTCCAGCGAACCAACACATCAAACATTCTATACTCCAAACATGCCAAACCCTAAAGAACCAAAACCCCTAATGATCCCAAAATCCAAATATTCTAAACTCCAAAGCTCCCAAAACCACAAAGATTCAAGTCCCCTGGAATCTAAAATTCTAAAGATCCAAAATCACAGAAATCAAAAACCCAAGCATTTTGAACACAAAACATTCAAAATCCCAAGATTCTAAACCTAAAGATCTCAAAACCATCACAAAAACTAAACTAAAAAGACCCCAAACCCCAAAGATTCCAAACTCCAAACTCCCAAAGATTATAAAAGCCAAAGTGAAATACATTGGCTCCAAGTTCCAAGTACCTGTAGTTCCAAACATCAGAGACAAAATCCAAATGATCTCAAGCTTCTAACCACAGTGATCACCACCAGAGGGCCTAGTAACCAAAGGTCCAACCTAGAATATTACAAAACTCTTAACAATCAAAAGCCCAACAATCTGAGACCTTTAGTTCCAAAACACAACTGTTCCAAATCCCAAAGATTAAATCCCAAATGTCACAATTCCAAAAATGAAAACTGCAATCCCAAAAGCCTCAATCCCGAGTTTCAACCTTAAGGATCTCAAACCTCAAAAAGATCTTATTAATCCTAACCCTAAAATGAAATGGAAGAGATTTCTGCCCTATTAATCCAACTGCAAAGAGCTAAATCACAAAGAAACAAAAACACACTAATCCTCCAAACATATAGCCACAAACACATGAATTCAAAATCAATAAGATCCCAGAGTTCCAATCGCCAATATCCAAATGTTATAGATCCATCCCATGATGTCAAACTCCAAAGACCCCTAACCATATAGATGCAAACCAAAGGTTTCAATGTCCAATCATCCAAGCTATCTCCACTTAAATGACAACATTTTGAACCCAAAAATCCAAACTACAAAGTTTCTCAATACTCAAAATATTAATCCCAAACATTTTACTCTATAGATCCAAACCATGTAAATCCAAATAACCCAATCCCAAAGTTTGCAATCTGATCGCTATTGATCCAAATCTGAAAGATTCAAACTCTATAGATCTAAACTCTTTGGAATACAATCCTAAAGATCACACACTAACAGGTTCAAATACTTTTGATCCAGGTTCCAAAAGAACCAAAATGCAAGGAACCAGCCCTAGCTTTTCAAACACTAAAGATCCTAAACTGCAAATTCCGAACACTCTGGAGGCAAATCTCAAAGATTCCAACTCCCATTTGTCCAAACTAAAGATCTTAAATTTCAAAGTTCTAAACAAAGATCCCAACACTACACTCCAGTCCACAAAGATCTAAATCTATAATCCGAATGTTACGGACCCAAAATGCAATGATCAAAATCATGTTGGTCCAAACCACAAAGTTCTCAACTTCAAAATTCTAAATACATTGGATCAACACTTTACGATCCAAATCCCTAAAGATGCTAAACCCAAAGATTCAAACTGCAAAGTTTGAAAACTTATAGATATAAACTCTACACTTTCAAACCCTACACATCCAAGTCCTATAGGTTCACACTCAAGAGATCCAAACCTGAAAGATCCAGACCCCACCCACATCTGGATGACAGAGATCCAACTCTACACATCCAAACCAGACAGACCCAACACAATAGCTCTAAACCCTATAGATCCAAACACTGCATATCCAAATCCTACAGGTCAAAACCTTACATATCCAAATCCTGAATGTACAAATCCTATAGGTCCAAACCCTACACATCTGGACCCTACACATCCAGACCCTATGCTTCCAAACCCTGTAGATTCGAACTCCAAAGATTCAAAATCCCAAGGTCCAGGCTCACAAAGTCAAAAACCTACAAGTACAAATCCAAAAACGTCCATAGCCAATAGAACCCAACAAAGAGGAACATTCAAAAGGTCCCATACCTTAAAGATCCCAAACGCATTAGACACCAAATCCTATAGACCCAAACTATGGATCATAAGTATCCAAGCTCCAACATCCAAACCCAAGGAGGTTCAAAATCCAAATTCCAAAAGATGTAAAATGACTAAAAGATGCAAGCTGCATGTATTCAAATCCAAATGAACTAACCACCCCAAAGATGACCAATCATTGATACAAACTGAAAACATCTAAAACTCCAAAATTCCCAAACTCCATTGATCCAAATCCTTATGTTCCAATACCGAAAGTCCAACCCCACATCCCTGAGCCTAAAAGATTCCCCCGAGAGCCCAATCTTCAAAAATGCCCAACCACAATGATCCCAAAGCCAAATATTTAGACTTTGCGTAGATCAAAATGATCCAGATCTTTCAATTCAAACCTATATTCCCAAATGCACAAAATCCAAAAGAACCAATTGTCCAATATTTGATATCACAGATTAAAAACAAATAAAAACATGTATTTCAACTATTTCAATTGTGTAGATTACATTCAGATGCATTAAAACCTTACAGGTCCAAATCTGGCTGATCCAAATGCTGTGGATCCAAAGATCAGAATCTCAATAGATCGTAATCTTAATGATCCAAAACCCAAGAATCCTAACCCGAAGGATTCAAATTCTGTAGATTCCAATACTATAGACTCAAATGTTATAGATCCGGACCCTTAAAGATCCAATATTTTCAAATCATGAGCCTCCAAACATCTAAATTCCAAGCTCTAAACCTATATGTTCAATTCTAAAGACGCAGAACACCGAAAGAGCTAAACCCTACACATCCAAAGTTGATAGGCCCAAACCCAGTAGATCCAAATTCTATAGATTCACACCCTATAGATCCAAAGCCGATTGAACCAACCCCAGTAGATCCAAATTTTATTGATTCAAATCCTATAGATCCACATTCAACAGATTCTAGCCCCTAGATCTACATTCTATAGCTTCAAGAACTGTACGTTAAAATTCTATAAGTCCAAGGGGATTTCAAGGGAATACATCAAAGCTCAAAGACCGAAAGACGGAGCAAAACCCTATACACAGTCAGGATAGCCTATGGAGGGAATGTGCAGCCATAGAAACGCCTGGGTGAGGGTGGGGGGGTCTGGGCAATTCCCGATTCCCTCTGTCCCTCCCTCTCTCTCTCCCAGCCCGGAGTGTGTCTTCCGCCGGCGTTGGGAAGGAATTCTGAGCGAGCGGAGCAGTCTAGGAGGTTGGAGGAGACGGGCAGCCGCTGCTTCACCTGCTTATTCCCCCCAGCCAGGGGTAGGGGCGGCGCGCTGACACCCCCACCCCGATCCCCACCTGCCCGGAGCAAAGTGCACCAACGCGCCGGGGGTAGTGCTGTTTGTGACGGGAGAAGTCCCAGCTGCAGAGCCCTGCTCCCATGGTCCTGGGAGTCAGCCCGAGCGCTGGGCAAACAAAACTACAAGCAACCAGCAAGCTCCCTGGAGTCCAGGTAAACTCCAGCCAGGATCCCAGAGTGACCGGCTTTCCTGGGCGTGCAGTGTGTGTGTGAGTGAGAGAGAGAGAGAGAATATTTGGAGTGTGTGTGTATTAGTGACTGAGAGTTTGTGAATGTCTGTATATATGTGTGTATGTGTATGAGAGAGAAAATATTTGAGTGTGTCAGTGACTGAGTTTGAGAATGTATGTTTGTCGGTCTGTGTGCGTGAGTGTGTGTGTTAGTGACTGTGAGTTTATGAATGTCTGTATGTGTGTGTGTGTGTGAGTGAGAATGAATGTGTGAGAGTATGTGTGTGTGAGAGAGAGAGTATTTGAGTGTGTGTGTGTGTTAGTGACTGTGAGTTTGTGAATGTGTGTGTAGGAGTGTGGGGGTCTAGACTGCACTGGGACAGGGAGAGGGAGAGGGAGAGGGAAGGATTTCTGGAAGACAAGGCAGACAGGAGGTCTGGAGACAGTTGTGACGGTCAGGGACAGTTCTGTACAGTGACAGAGAAAGGAGCCTTCCCAGACTCCGGTACAATATTCCCCCTGAGCCCCAAACCCCAGTCTATTCCTTCATTTCCAACAACAACACAATCCCTGCTCCTCGGCCCAGCAAAAATTCAAATCCACAACAGCTACTCTGTCAGCGTAACTCCACGCCGGTCAGTTTCACTGGGTATGAGTTTCTGTATAGGGACAGTTCATTTTCACCTCAGCCCCTGTCTGTTTCCCAATCAATCACCTATCCCCTAGCCCTCCCATCACCACCCCCCACCCCCCTTGTTTCAGTCTATGACTAACACTGCCAAACACACAAGGACCGTTTCCCATAGACACACACAGGCACACATACTGAGACGCACACGCAGACACACGAACTGGTTTAAGAAACTTTCTTTGCTATTGAGGGAATTCTTTCTTTCTGTTCCAAACCCATTCAAGTACAATGTGGCCAGGTTAAACTGTTCTGTTTGAACTTGATAAAATATCTCACAAGGGGACTGGAGCCGAATCCCGGTCTAGTCCAATGACATCGTCTGACCGATTTGTGTGAAATCTCCAGAATCTGATGTTCATTAAACATATCCGGACACATCTGTCTGTCCGGAGCTGTCTATATGAAACCATCTGGAGAGATTCAATTAAAACGACAGCGAAATTCACACACATATCAGATATTTCTCTACATAGACATGTAGGAGATTGGTATTAATGGTGTTTATTATAGAGAGATAATTCGATAGAGGTTTATTCAGTTAAGACCCATCCATGAAATTAGAATTATTATTGCAATAAATACACCTTTATATATTCATATATTTGTAACGATCTGCACACACTTATTTAAAATAGATTTTGATTTTTAACTCGATATATTTCAAATTAGTTTATTTATAGATTGGAGACAATTTTTAAATTAGTTTGTAATTGGAAATATTTTGACATTTCGTTCAGTTTTATTTATCGTTCCTTCAGTTGTGTGCCTTTTTTGTTGCGTGTATATTTTCTTTCCTACCCTCACCAATGTCCCGCTTCCAGAGTTTCCTCTCTCGCTCCCTGATGCACTGATCCACCCAGGTCCCCCAGTCTTTGTAGCCGCCTCCTGATCCGAGCCAGCGGCGGAGCAGAACACAATTCACACACCCCGAAAATCTGGGAGACTGCGTTCTAACTGCAAGGGAAAACCCAGAGCGGAGTTTAAAATGAAAATTCGTTTTGTTTTATTTCTCCTAAGTATTAGAACAGTCGCCAAAAACCAGAAGAACTTATCTATAACTAGAAATTAATTCTTGATTTCTGAGGAAGTTGTGAGGAAGGGTCACCGGACCCGAAACGTTAACTCTGTTTTCCCCTTCACAGATGCTGCTGAGCTTTTCCAGCAACTTTGTTTTTGTTCCTGATTTACAGCATCCGCAATTGTTTTGGTTTTTAAATTCTTGAATTGTCTGGGTTTTCAGGCTCCTAGTTTGAAATGAGAGAGAGATAGATGGGACTTGGAATAATTCCGTCATTGTTTAAAATGTACAGTCGTTGACTTTCTATTGTCCTCAGTATTAATTGAGTGTATGGTGAGGCCGGTTTATTTAGTCACTGGATATGCATTTGTTTAGATTCCGTTAAACGCTTTCTTCATTCGGGGAATTCACTCAAAGGAACATTTTGTGCGAAGGGTATTAATGTGACATGCACCCTAAACGGGCCTTTTCTCTGTGAGGTTTCTGAGACTATCTTACACTTGCTCTCCTGTATACTTTACACCGTTTTCCCGCAGGATCTGTAAACAAAGGGAACTGTACAAATTTTTCTCGCAAAGGTCTCTCTCCACCCCTCCCCAAGCCTCTGTCAGCACCCACCCTCTCCTTTCTCACTGCTGACAACCACCACCTCCTGAACGCCGGGGTGGGGGTGAGATCGGTCTGACCGTACACATCGTTTGGGTGTAGGTACTGTTCCTGACATACTGCCCTGGCTCAACCATATCTCTGACAGCGTGACAGCTCAGATTAGAAAGAATTTCGGTGTCTACCGCCAAATTGAATTGTAAGTGTATAGTACTTAACATATAGATAATGGTGCATGTATGTAATGCATATATGTTTGTGTGCGTATAGCTGCAAAGTTATATTAATAAATATTATATATATACACACACACATATATACACACACACTGCATATATAATGGTACATATGTAAAATGTATACATAATAATGTATTTAATGATCTGTATACATCTAGATGTGTGTATACACACACCTACACATATGGGGTGCATATGTGAGATTCTCAGCATAGAATGGACTGTATCTAAGCACATATATTAACATTGATGTACATATTTCTGAAATGCACATTGCACAAATACAATATTTGGCTATGAAAATCTCAGTACCCATTTCAGGAAACATGAGAAATATACCATTCCCTGTATATACCATTAATGACAATACTCTCAATACATTTTGTGTTTTCAATGCATGACCTTACCAGCAAAACTTCTGAGTTGGGGAAATGATTCACAACGTTTTGTGATTACACTAATGTGCTCAGTAAATATCGCCTCCTCAGTGTAATCTATAGAACAGCAGCTGAGGGGTAAGGCTTTCATCACTGAAGTTTATTATCATCTTCTGATAACAACTTCCACACACTGCTTTAAGGTGATGAGCTTTCCCCTGAATTCTCCATCAGATTTTTCAGTAATTTATTCATACAATTCAAAAATATTGTAATGCCTGATACAGAAATTTCTCAATGATTGGAATATTCTGCCTAGAATCCAATAACTAGTTGAGTAAGGTGTGCTTCCCTGTTTAGTGATCCATACAGATTAATGGGGATATGCTCAGCAACCGTTGTAATGTATCCCTTTGATAATCTGTGTCCACAATACGCACTGCACAGATTATCAAGGAGACACAGTACACACTGTCGTCTCTCCTTGATTATCTGTGCAGTGTGTTGGGGACAGTCTCTCTTTAAGAACTTGTTGGGAGTTTATTTCTGAAAACCTTTGATTTGTAATCTGTGGGAGCTGAGTGGGGATAGTTTATTTTAATCGTCTAGGGAAAGTTTATGGAGGACAGTATCGAATGATCTCAAAATGTTGTTAGGTATACACTCTCTTTAACAGGCTGTAGATAAGTTATTGGTGGCCCCTGTCTCTTTAATATTATGTAGAGTTTATTTGGGACGGTTTCTATTTTATAGCTGTTCAAAACTTATTGGGATAGTCTGTTTTAAATACCCTATTGAATAATCTGGAAAATTAATTCAGGACAGTCTGTCTTTAATTTAAAAAATACATTAGAAGAGGAGGAGAAATTGTGCAGTGTGCTGTGGGCAATGTTCATACCTGTGTCGGGGTCCTCGCCACACTTGCTCCTCACTTTGGAGAGTTTGTTGCGATCAGTCTTTTTAATAATCTGTAGCATGTTTATTGGGAATGGTCTCTCATTAACGCAGACAGAATTTATTGGAGTCAATTTCTGTTTAAAAATCTGTGTAGATTTCACTGGGAACAATCTCTCATTAATGATCCATGGATAATTTATTGAGGGCAGTCTCTCTCTAATAACCTATTGCGATTTCATTGGGGAAAGTTTCTCTTTAATAATGTATGGAAAGGTTTGAGGACAGTCTGCATTTACTCATCTCTGCAGAGATTGGGGAAAATTTATTTTAAACGATCTGTTCAGAATTAAAGGGGGGTGTCTCTGTTTAATGGTCTGTGCAGAGTTTACTGGGGACCATCCCCAAAAATGTGGAGAATTTATTGGGGATATTTTCTCTTTAGTAATTGATGGCGAGTTTGATAGAGACAGACTGTCTTTAAAAAAAAAGTGCCAAGTTACTTGGGGATCCCCTTTCTTTAATAATATGTTTATCATTTATTGGGGACAGTTCCTACTTAATAATCTTTGCAGCATTTATTGGGGCCGTTTCCCTTTACTAATTTGTTGGATTGTCGTTTTTTTTTTGAAGGACGGTCTACATTTAAAGATCTGTGGAGTGTTTATTGGGAGCAGTGTCCCACTAATGACCTGCGGTGAGGCTACTGGTGCAAGTCTCTCTGTAATAAACTGCTGGATTAGTAATTCTGAGTTCACGTATGTTCAAACCCCGCGACAGCAACTGATAGGATTTGAATTCATTTAATCAAAAAGAAAATCTAGAATGAATAATTATCTTTGTCAGCTGAAATAGCTCTCGGAGGGTAATTTGAGATTGACGATCTAAAGGTTGTTGGTTCGGTCCTGGGTTTTTGGCAAAAGACGTGGTTGTTTCTATTTTGGGGCAAGTGAGAATGGGTCCCACGGACAGTCACCAGCTCCTAAAAACAGTGGGAAAGAGAGAGGGAGAGGGAGAGGGTCTCCGAATCAGTCAGCAGTTGTTAAAGGAGTGGGTTAGGGAGGGAGAGTGTTTAGATTCTGGATAAAAACAGCATAAGGAGATGAGAAAAAGTCCGAGTGCTATCAGAGAAAGGCATGAGTTAATTGCTTATTATTT